CGACGGGTCAAACACCGTGAGCCCCAGCCCGCTCTCCCTCCCTTCACACGCACACTACGTAGGCTCCTCCTTCCAACTCTGGGTGGGCATTGGACAGTGAGGCCGGCCTGCTACAGCAGGGGCAGGGGAAAAGCGACCGGAGGCCTACTGCGCAGATGCAGCATCCAGCGCTGCATTGCGATTGGTCCACACAGTGAGACGATCTGCGCATGCACTGTGTTGCCCGTACGGCTTTGGCCCTGGCCGCGATTAGTACGTATCCGCAAGTTAGTGGTATTGCGTTGACCCGAGCGAGTTCGGAAAGTTGTCCAAGGAGGGACCCGTGGAGCCGCTTTGCCTGGCGGGTTATGGCTAGTGATGTCGCTGTGTCGGTGACGGGAACTGGTAACAGCACCTCACAAAGCGTGGCCCCAGCACCGCACTTTGCCCTTTGGATTTGGGCTACTGGTTACTAGGTACATAAGCCTTCCGGATTCTCTTGCAGTGATCCACTTCCAGTCTTTCCCTGGGTCCGAGTCGCGGAACCTGGCTTCCCAGATCCGGCATTTACTTCCGTGTTTTACAAGTTGCCGGCACTTTCCCACTCGACCCATTTCCGGGACAAGTAACCATTCCGCGCTCTCTTTCCCCCATATTTCTTTTATATTGTGCAGTTCTGTGCCCTAGATGCTGTACCAGGTGCTGCGGTAGTCTCCTACTATTAAGGCTTCCGTGCTTGAGAGCAGGATGCTGGAAGAAAGTTCGTGCTTCAGATTTTCTGTGAGAGAAATCCCAAGTAGAACTTTCAGAGTTATGGGAGAGGTATGGTGAGAGACTGAGGTTCAGTAGGTGGTTTGGCTTTGCCAGTATAAGCTAAATTGGAAATAATGTTTTGGCTGTCTGCAGAACATAAAATATGCCTTTTTCAAAGATTTTGGTTACATATTCATCTAACAAACATTTATTGAGCACTTGCTGTTTGGGCTGTACTGTGAAAGGGACCATGGTAGGTATGAAAAGTATAGACAGTCCCCGACTTACAATTCATGATGGTTCGACTTATGATTCTTCGACTTTATAATGGGTTCATCGGGATATTAAATACGTTTTCTGCATAAGACGTTTTCGACTTATGATGGGTTTATCAGGATGGTAAGTTGAAAGCTGTACAGGAAGTGGTCACGTCTAGTTGGGGAGCCGACATATACTGGCCATTGAAATAATAATATCTCATGCAGTGCCAGAATAAGATTTAAGAGTATGGAATAGAATCCCCAAGGAAGAATTTCTTGCAGTGTTATTTGAGCTGTCTTGAAGGATGAGTAGTAAAATTCAAATAGTGGAGTAGGAATGATATTTCAAATGGTGAATACATTGGGACCACAGGTAACTTTTTTTTTTTTTTTTTGAGTTGTAGTCTCACTCTGTCACCCAGACTGGATTGCAGTGGCTGCTCCCGGCCACCGCAGCCTCGACCTGCTGGGCTCCGGCGATCCTTCCGCCTCAGCCTTCCA